TGTAGTTCAACTTCAGGGCAGCAATGACCCAGGCACAGATGAAGAACTAGAAACGGGCACAGAGCAGAAAGGTGGCTTTAGCTACCAGAACTCTCCAGTAAGTCATTTATCTAATCAGGATGCCGAAAATGAATCCCTTTTAAGTGATGCCAGTGACCAGGTGGCAGACATTAAAAGCATATGCTGTCGAGATGCCCAGGACAAGAAAGCTACTGCCCACCCCAAACTTCAGAATGAAACGCACAACTGCATGGATAAGATGACCGCCGTCTATGCCAACATCCTGTCTGATTCCTATTGGACAGGTCTTGGTCTTGGCCTCAAGTTGTCAAGCAGTGAGCGGAGAGGTTGTGACACACGAAATGGAGGTAACAAAAGTGACTTTGATTGGCATCAAGATGCTTTATCCAAGAGCTTACAGCAGAATTTGCCTTCCAGACCTGTCTCCAAACCCAATCTTTTCAGCTCTGTGCAGTTGTATCGACAGAGTAGTAAGATGTGTGGGACTGTGTTCACAGGGGCCAGCAGGTTTCGGTGCCGACAGTGTAGTGCTGCCTATGATACCTTGGTAGAGTTAACCGTGCACATGAATGAAACCGGTCACTATCAAGATGATAACCGCAAAAAGGACAAGCACAGACCTACCAGCTATTCAAAGCCCCGGAAAAGGGCTTTTCAGGACATGGACAAGGAAGATGCACAAAAAGTTCTCAAATGTATGTTTTGTGGTGACTCCTTTGATTCCCTGCAAGATTTGAGTGTTCACATGATAAAAACAAAACATTACCAAAAAGTGCCTTTGAAGGAGCCAGTACCAACCATTTCTTCAAAAATGGTCAACCCGGCAAAGAAACGCGTTTTTGATGTCAATCGGCCCTGCTCTCCAGATTCTACCACCGGATCATTTGCAGAAACATTTTCCTCTCAAAAGAACGCCAACCTGCAGCTGTCCTCGAACAACCGCTATGGCTATCAAAATGGAGCCAGCTACACCTGGCAGTTTGAGGCCTGCAAATCTCAGATCCTGAAATGCATGGAATGTGGGAGCTCTCATGACACCTTGCAGCAGCTCACTACTCACATGATGGTCACGGGTCACTTTTTGAAAGTCACTAGCTCCGCATCCAAGAAAGGAAAGCAGCTGGTGCTAGATCCGCTGGCAGTGGAGAAAATGCAGTCATTGTCAGAGGCCCCAGGAAATGATACTCCATCTTCTAAGCCATCCAGTAATGCAACTTCAGAATGTGTAGCACCTCCAATAGAGCTAAAGAAAGAGAGCAAAAAAGAAAAACCAGAGGACACTAGCAAAGATGAGAAAGTGGTCAAGGGTGAAGAATATGAAGATACTCTTCAAAAACCACTGGATCCTACAATAAAATACCAATATCTTAGGGAAGAAGACTTGGAAGATGGCTCAAAGGGTGGAGGAGACATTTTAAAGTCATTAGAAAATACAGTCACCACAGCTATCAACAAAGCCCAAAATGGGGCTCCCAGTTGGAGTGCATATCCTAGTATCCATGCAGCCTACCAGCTGTCAGAGGGCACAAAATCTTCTTTGCCTATGGGTTCCCAGGTACTCCAGATTCGACCAACCATCACCAATAAGTTAAGACCAATAGCTCCAAAGTGGAAGGTAATGCCCCTTGTTTCTGTCCCCACAAACCTAGCCCAGTGCACTCAAGTGAAGAAAGAGTCAGAGGACAAGGATGAAGCACAGAAGGAGTACACAAAGGACAGTCCCATCACTGATGCATCCTCCTTGAGCCACAGTGAGGGCGAGTCTCTCCCCAAAAGTGAGACTCCTTCAGATTCCAGAAAGAATGATCCCCCTCCCCCAAAAGAGGAGGACAAAGTGAAAGAGAACAGCACTAGAGAGAAATCCCAACCTATGGAATCCACATCTTCTCTTAGTAATGGCTGTACCACCACCAACCATGCTCAGGCACTTCCTTGTATTAACCCACTCAGTGCCCTGCAGTCTGTGTTGAATAATCACCTGGGCAAGGCCACCGAACCTCTACGTTCTCCATCTAATTCTAGTCCCAGCTCAAGCACAATTTCTATGTTTCATAAACCAAATCTCAGCATCCTTGAAAAGCCAGTTTTGTCTCCGGCCCCATCCAGGCCTGGAAGTGTGTCTAGGCGCTACGTGTTTGAAAACAGCGATCAGCCCATTGATCTGACCAAATCTAAAAGCAAGAAGGCAGAGTCAGCACAAGCACAATCTTGCACTTCCCCACCACAGAAGCATGCTCTGTCTGACATTGCCGACATGGTCAAAGTTCTTCCCAAAGCTACCACACCAAAACCGAGTACCACCTCCTCTAGGGTCCCTTCCATGAAGCTAGAGATGGAGGTCAGGCGCTTTGAAGATGTCTCTACAGAGGTCTCCACTTTGCATAAGAGGAAGGGCAGGCAATCCAACTGGAATCCTCAACATCTTCTGATTCTGCAGGCTCAGTTTGCCTCAAGCCTCTTTCAAACATCAGAAGGGAAATATCTCTTATCAGATTTGGGTCCTCAAGAACGCATGCAGATTTCCAAGTTTACTGGACTATCTATGACCACCATTAGCCACTGGCTGGCAAACGTCAAATATCAGCTTAGGAAAACTGGAGGGACAAAATTTTTGAAAAATATGGACAAAGGACATCCCATCTTCTACTGTAGTGACTGTGCATCTCAGTTTAGAACCCCCTCTACCTACATCAGCCACTTAGAGTCCCACCTAGGCTTCCAAATGAAGGACATGAACCGACTGGCAGTGGAACAGCAAACGAAGGTTGAGCAAGAGATCTCCAGGGTATCAGTTCAAAGGTCACCGGAAACTATAGCTGCGGAAGAGGACACAGACTCTAAATTCAAGTGTAAGTTGTGTTGTCGGACCTTTGCAAGCAAACATGCAGTAAAACTTCACCTAAGCAAAACGCACAGCAAGTCACCTGAACACCACTCACAGTTTGTAGCAGATGTGGATGAAGAATAGTTCTGAAGGTATGCGTTTGCTCCCAAGGTGAATTGTAAGGTCGGGATTGTAAGGAGCCTTGTAAAGAAGATGTATTTGCTTAGATGCAGCCAACATTCCCAAAGGTTCAAACAGCATGCCAGTTTGCTGGATTAGGACTTATTTCTTAAGAGAGCAAAGCATAATAGATGGGTTACAGCCAATTCTCCATTATCCCTGTCAGAGGGGAGGTGGGGGCAGGGAGGGGAACCAAATAAACTTAGATACACGAAATTCACAGATTATCCTCAAACCTCATTTTAGCCAATAGTTTCAACCTCCTCTTCCACCAGCCTTTTTTTTTTTCCTAGAGCTGCTTTCAAAGGGACGTATTGGCATTTCACCACCCAGCCCTCTGCTAGAAGTTCTGACAAGTGCTTGAAATAGCCAAAAGATGGGCAGCAGGAGGGAGATGGAGGAGAAACTAGGGGCAGACACAAGAGACAGACTGGTTATCAGCTCCTGAATAACCAGAGGCTGACTTTTTCTTTGTTACTTGTATTTAAACACTTTTTATTGTTGTTGTTCTACTTTTAACAGTAGTTATGCTGCCCACTTTTGGGGGTGCGGGTGGGGGAGCAGGCACACCTGTTCTTACCCCTAAGAAGAGGTGTTTGTATCTGCGACATAAGCGGGTTATAAAGTTCTTCTGTGCAGTCTATCCAGCTGAAAAGAGAGGAGGCCTATTTTCCTCTATCACTCTTCATCTTTCTATGGAATTATCTCATTGTTCCCCTGTATCAAAGGTAGCATCAATGCATGCACATGGAATCTTACTCTCAATAAATAGTTTAATGACTTTCAACCCACCCATTGCCAATGTGCTCAAGGGTGACCAGCTTCAATCTTAATCCTGTCTTCCTTTGTTCCTAAATGTACCATATATGTTCAGTGCTTCACATTGTCATCGGACCCCAGGCCACCTACTCCACCTCATAGGACAAAGGTTACATTTGGATGCATAGCCGATCCATTCATTTTTGCCATCTTTGTAATGCTCTCTAGGAAGTGACTCATCCTATGTCACTCAGATTTGACCATTTGACCATGGTTATAAACAGGGCTTAGCCTTGGGGAAAATGATGCAGTGGTCATAGAAGCCCATCTCTCTTTAAATGCTCTTGGCTTAAGTTCCATGAGCCCTTCTGATGACCATTAGCTGACTGGGCTTCCCCATTCTACCACTTCACCTGGTCCTGCCCTCACAGGATACTGACCTCTGCATCCCTCATTAAAATTCACTCATCTTGCATCCACCTCCTCCTAAATCAGACAGGTTTCCTGGTCCTGATGGATTCTCTAATCCAGTAAATGATTACAATGGTTTGAAGAAGGAAATAATATTGGCATGTATGAAAAATAAATAAAACCAACCTTAAGCCAGACTCAGGTTTTATCCAGGCCAGTTTTGGGGACAAAATAAGGCCTAAATTCAAACCAACATAACAGTTCATAATAAGCTGTTCCTGGCTTATTATGGTTACCACTCCCAAAGAGCATTTTACATTTTAAATAGGCCTTCAGCACCTTAATCCATGGGATTGCATAACATGAGAATTTAAAATACCATGGCCAAACCAATGAGGAAGATATTTTGCCAGGGTAGGGAGCCTTTTGTAACCAGTCACATTCCACCATACAGGTAGCATCCTCTGCTACCGATAAAGCCAACCCTGTTTATAACTATGGCACGTGACAGTGGCCAAAATGAACAGATTGACCATTATGAAGATGTGTCACTCAGGACTCTGCACACAGTGAGGGGTGGGGGTGGGGGTGGGGCCTTAGAGCTTTTGGTCAGAAAAAAAAAATCCCACTGCTCTACCTGCTCCTTTGACCCAAATGAATCCTGTTGTTCTTTTGTTTGCATGTTTTTATCATGTTAATTAAAAATGATTATTGCCAGACTGCTGCCCGTCTTTCCAAGCTTCATTTGTATCGATTTTTACTAGAGTTGAAAGATAAGCCAAAGGACACCTACTTGGGAGGTTGGGGGCTCAATCCTGTCTGTTCTATTCGTAATAGGTGAAGGTCTCCATAACTCAGCATTCAGCTGTTTCTTGCCTTAAAAAGCAAGAAGAACATGAACTGAATGCCCGGAGAGATGCTTCGGATTCCATAGCAGCAAATGCAACACAGACAGAAGAACGAGTAGATAGTGGGTATTCATCATATAATCAGGACCGATTTTCCACCTGTTTGGTTTGTAGACGTTTTTAAAAGTCAGTATCACTGCCAAAATATTGCAATACACAAATAGTTAGAGGTTTAAAAAAACAACTGCTGTCCAGAGAAGACATTTAAAGCATTAGAAGGCTGCAGTGTTTATTCTAGAAACATGAAGGTAAACCAATAATTTGGAAACCCACACACAAGTAGTTTCTGTTAAATACATAAATTGTTATTTTTATTATCATTAGGGCATTTCCGTGGCTTTTTTCTTGATGAATATTTCACATTTAGAGCTTTAAGGTACCCTATTAGTCTTATCTTCATAATAAAACTAACTACCCACACCCATCCCCATATCAATTTTGTTGCCAAGATTCTGGGAAAGGATTGAAGTGAATCAGATTTGTATATCTAAGTCAGGGATTTAAAAAAAAAAAAGAGGAGGAGTGGGAAGCTGAGGGGGAAGAGACCTATCCATAAACAAGAATAAGATCCACATTAGCTAATTTCCTGCTTATACTTGGAAATAAGGAGTGTTTCTGATATTCTGGCCAGCCATGTAACAAAATGCCTGAATCTCTGAGATTGTCACAGATCTGAGTATGCAGGCCATATCTTACCTGCTACAAACAGTGTACGTTTTAAAGAGCGGCGACAGAGTGATAGCCTTGTTATCTGGAGCTATAATTTTGGTTGGTATGTGTGAAAGCACAAATGGTACAAAATGATGGGCCATTTGGGAAGGTATTGTCTAGATTTTATTAAAAATGTTTGAGTTTTAGCATGCCTAATTTTGGGTAGGACATATTTTGACTCACATGATTCCCTCCCCCCTTTTCTGGGATCATTCCCAGTCTCCACAATTAAAATATAACACACACACATTAGAGAACAGTGTTCAAAGCAATTTTATCTTAAGAATAGGATAGGGAATATCACAATCCCACAACATAGGACTGGCCCTAAGGGATTGGGCTATTCATTATGTAACTGCACACAAGGACACCCCAACTGAAAGTATGTGTGAGGTCTGAGCAAATTAGAATGTCTGCCCTATTTCTTAAGATGTATCTTTCGGTAGATGGTTCCAAAATGGAATGCTGGAGGTGGGAATAAGGGCAGATAAGTTCATCATGCCGAATGAAACTCCGTTCCGGGAGTTGGGCCACTGCTGATATGGCCCCATCCTGGAAAGTATCATTGTATGAATGACAGCTGCCTCCAGGGAAAGGACAGCCATGCTTACAGCACTTGGAATACTTTCACAGTGTCAGTGTGTCTTTGATGGGTCAAGGCAAAGCCTCTTGGGAAAAGATACCGAGTTATAGAGTGGGAGACTTCAATTCACTGGTCGAAATACAAACATATGGTCCAACTGAAAAGCAGATGTTGACAATGTACTGATGCTGAGACTGACCTACATTGGGGTTTCCCCACAGCTATTCTCTGGAACCCTACTGTTCTACGCAATGAGCCTGGGAGGGGGAATTCATTGAGGCAATTTTGATGTTAACAATAACTAACCTTAAAATATGAAATAGTTTGATACTTCCAGGATCTATATGATGTCATCAACATGAGTAGACCCTGCACCAAAAGAGATTTCAAACCCCCTTTATGCCTTGATAGAAAATGTCCCCACCTAGAATTAATATATTAATTAGAAACCAGATCAAATGATAGACCATGGGATTCCAGACTGAAAGAACTAAACTAATATATCATCTTTTGAATACATGGATTTTAGCTGAGTGATCCAGTCTAAATCTTCTTAACTGCACTAGGTTTTTATCTCTGTTGTACCTTCTCCCTTTCTTCCTTCATTCAGGCTTCTAAAGTCTGTAATTTGGGACTTGAATATAGAGTAACATTATTTTTCCTTTACTGCAATCTGCCATCAGGATCATCTTTTCATTTAACCAGATGCATTTTTTTTCCTTGAGCTAAATTGAAAATCTATGAACGGCAGGGAGTGCAATGTTTTAATTAGCTCATATTTTTTATATGGATTTATGTCTTTAAAATACATTTGTGTAATTCTTCAGCTAAATTAAAAACGTCTTTCCACAGAGGAGGAGGCAAGAGGAGGAGATTTTAAAAAGGAAGAATAAAATTGTGTGTTATCTACCTTAGGTAGCTCTGACTGCAGATGGTGACCGTGATATCGAATGGAGGGGCTCAAAACAACTGCGGATGGTTCATTGTTGAGTTTCTCCATGATCTGATTTTAAACTTTCCTTCCATTTCCAGAAGTCATTATCTGTGGAGGATCCACTGGGAGAGCTTGGGGAGAGAGTTTTGTTTTGTTTCGGTATTTTTCCCCCCTAGCCCCTAATAACTAAACGGGCAGTTACCTGTTACGAGCTCATTTTTAAAGCAAAGTGACTGCAAAACAATCCCCCCCAAAAGCCATCCACAAAAAAAAAAGTCATAATGATAAACAGTTTTTCTCTGCGTTTCCTCCTTTGTCTTTTTTTTTCTTCCACCATCAAGTTTAAAGCTTCCACAGTGCTTTTTTTTTTCTACTTTATAGGAGACAAGTGACATTCTGTGGTAAATGGAAGAAAGAGCAGAGCGGAGCTGAAAACCTCTAATGCATTGACACTAACTTGCCCTCTATTGTTGAAAATGAGCAGGCAATCATGATTGTTCATCAAATGGCTCCTAATGCAGTTAAAGCATTCAGCTATAATTTCTCCTTGCATTTATAATTACTGTCATAGACTGCACACCTCAGTGAGCAGATTAAAGCTATAAACTATTTAGCCGTAGCTTTAAGATGAAGAACTTGATTTCTCTGGCAGCCTCTATTTGTTAGGGAGCTTGACACTTCACATAAAAATGACTCAACTTGATGAAGAACAATGCAGTTTTAGCAATGCAGTGATTTTAAATCAGTCATTACACCACGCCCTGGAAGAATTGCAAAGCAGTTGGTTAAATGATATATAGGACGCAGAGATGGCTGGCTGCGTTAAGTGTACCAAAAATAGAAGGGGATTTGGTGTGCGGCTCCTTCCCCGGCTCTCCTCTGAAATGGCAAGAGTTTGTTGAAAAATCAGTGCATGTCATGTTCTCCTATTAAATCCAGTGTAAATGTTACATGAGGCTAACCCGGCAGGGGGAAGAGAATGCTTGGAGCCTAAGGCGGATGTCACAGTTTGGGGTTTGAGAGAACTTTCTGGCTGTCGTTCAGCGTGCACACCTCGGTGAGCCCAAGAAGCTAACAATACTTGCCTTTTTTTTCTATCCTAGAGGATGAGCTATATTTAGGCACTGTGGGCATCTCAATCGGGACAACTCCATGCGTGTTAGCTGTGGCTCTTTAAAAAAAAAAATCTCTTTTTCCAGCTTGGAGGCTTAAAAAAAAAAGTTGGAACCCTGCAGCCCATTTTGTTCCAAAAGAAATTGAGGGTGGCATTTGATTGTTTGTCACAAAGGTCAGCAGATATAAGAGAAAAATTAATGTCCACTAAGACTAGCTCTGTTTTTCTTTTTATGGTCATCAAGACACTTGACAAACCAAGTGATTAATATTGGCGCTTAATATGTGCTTTGGAACTATTCCCTGAAATGGTATAGAGATCTTCAAGGCACATGGGTCTGTGCAACATAACTCTGACGTATAGAATGTTCCACAAGAAACTCACTGTATATTTTTTATACATATTTTAACATGTATTTTTGCATATCATATGTTGAAATAAAGTCAATATGGGTTCATAGATTTAAAGCAGCCAAGTATCTTGGAGGTCACTTAATCTAACCTCCTCATTTTACAGATTGAAAAACAGAGGCCTAAAGAGGTCAAGTGACTTGTCAAAGGTCACTTGGGTTAATAAATGGCAGGTGCAGGATTTGAATTCAGCTTCTACTTCCTTTATTCTCCAAAGCTTCCCATAAAGTGTGCTTCCTTGTTTAAAAATGCATAACGACTTAGGGTGTTATTACTATCATGCAAGGTAGAATGTGCATGGGTCACTTCCTACAACCCCAAAGTCTAAGCTGGCAATGAGTAAATTTCAGTGTTAAGAGCTGCTACCCTTTTGTACATGTAAATCCTAAAGAGTTAACTTACATTTGTTCCAGTAGGCATAGGAATGTGACATTACCAAGACCTCATGGATGATTGCTAGTATTCACGCTATCCTGTAAATTGTCCGTAAGTGCCACATCAACTGAATAGACCATTTTGACCGAGTTGACCAGTATTTATTCTGTTGTCATAGAATCATAGAATGTTAGAGTTGGAAGTGAATTTAGAACAGAATGTTATGACTCTGGGGGACCTTAGAGCATAGACTATAGAATATTGGAATTGAAACAGGCTTTAGAGCATACAATATGGAATGTTAAACCAGAAAGGGCATCAGAAGACAACACAAAATGTTAGAAATGGAGGGGGCCTGAGAGACCATTTAGTCTGTACCCTCTCATTTTACAGAATAGGAAACTGAGGTTCAGAAAGAGGATGTGATTTGCCAGTAGTCATATGCTGGTAGATCCAAGACTAGAATGTGTTATCTCCTAACCTCATAAACACAACCATAGAGGGTACAGAACTTCCCAAGTAGACATCTGAATTTCTTTTATATATATGGAAGCCCTTTCAGAATCCCCCAGAGGGGCAGATGTGATTACATTAGGTGGGTCTGTACAGCATAGAGGTATAAGACATTACACACTTCTATTCCCTTCCTCCTTCACCTACAAGCTGAATAAGAATTCCTTGGTCCCTGGACCATCCCAATGGACTTGTCTTTGGTTTGTGCCATGTAATAGGCACCATTGCAGTAGCAGCCACCTCTCCTGCTCCCTCAGAGACACTGAGCTGCTTCTCAAGGAATGCGCTTCATTATTTCCGTGAATTGGTGAATTTTCTGCTGCTCCTGCTTTGGGAAAAGAAGCAGGCCTGGCTCACCTGGTGATTTGTGTTCATTTTCTGCTGTCATATTTGTTGTTTGAGAGAATTTGAGCTTCTCTATATAAAAAAAGAATTTAATTTCATCCTTGCTTATTTAGAAAGCCCCACACATCAGTCAGAGAGCTGAGAATCCTGCATCCAGTCAGAACTGCAAAGTGAACAGAGGGTGGAGAATGCATTTGAACAGTACTATATATTTGTCCAAGTCCCTTCATATCCATTAACCCCTTTGCTCCTAGCATCCAGCTTTCCTGACTCAATCCCTTTCTCTTTCCACTACACTATGCTATTCAGTTTAATTCGTCAAATTCAACAGACATTTTAAAAACACCAACTCTGGGCAAAGTACTGGGTTTTAGGGACACAAAATAAAGAAGATACAGTCACTACCCACAGGAAGACTATAGTCTAGAAATCAGTTAATGAAGTAATCATGTATCTTCTGTGTTCCTACTCTTGGCTGATTCCTGCATTGGGCATGGGGATGGAAAAAATACAAAGATACACAGAATATATAGTCCATAGCCTCAAAAGACTTAAAGTCTAGTTAAGGAGATCAGACACGTGCATGAAAAGAGAACTCAGACTACAAGGGAATATATGAAGAAAAGAATGAGTAACACAAATGATAAATACAGAGGTGGAAAGAGCACTGAGCTTGGGTGAAGGGAGTAAGTTTGGAATCGAATGTTGCCTTTACCATTTACTAGCTATGAGAATTGGGGCAAGTAACTCCCCCTCTCTGATCCTTAATTTCTTCATCTATTAAATGCGGAATTTGAACTAAATGGTCCCTAAGGTCATTTCTAGATGTGGATCAGATCCAGTAATCCTATGGAGAATTTTAGAACGGGGACAGCTCACTTCTAGGTGATGTCGTAAGGGAAGGTTTCATGGTCAAGGTTGTATCTAACCTGAGAATAAAGAAAGCAAATGATACATTCGCTGGATTTCTGTTCCTTGCATACAACACTTAATTTCCCCATCTCTGTGCCCTAACATTGGCTGTACCTCTGCCTGGAATGTTCCTCCTCCTCCCCTTCACCTTTTAAAATCACACATTTCCTTCAAGGCTCAGCTCAAATGCTACCTTCTTAAGGAGGTCTTTCCCTGCCCCTTCTGCCACTAGTCTTGGCTTCTAAGAACACCTTCCATCTACTTGGTATGCATCTTTTATATACCTATTTATTTACTTACTGTTTTTTCCCATTACGATATAAGCTTCTTGAAGGCATTGACTATTTTTTGCCTTTCTTTGTAATTTCAGCACTTTGCACAGTGTCTGACACATAGTAAACACTTAAATATTGTTAATTGACTGAAATTTGAACAGAATCATCCAAGGATGCTGGCCAGCAAATCCATGTGTGCTCTAGGCTGAGTATTAAAGGACATAGTAAATGGGAAAGAAAAACAAACCATTGTCCCTGACCTTGAAGAGTGGGAAGTTAAACTAGGAGGAAGAAAGGAATCATAGGAAGAAGGCAAAGTAAGAGGTACTCCAGCAACAGCTCAGAGCTCCAAAATGCAGAAAACTCAACAATGATAAAAGGAAAAGTGAAAACAACAATAACATAACAAGGTAATTCTTATTAAAAAAAAATAATAGCTAAAGACCAACATGTCATCTGTCCCTGATAACACAATGCACATTGCTCCTTGCCACGCCCACCTATAAAGGCCCACTTTGTCCAGTGGGGCTCCATAACTCACATTCTTGGTACAATTTTATGCCCCATCCTCTAGTATTAATTCCTTGGCAATATCACAAGGAAAAACCAACTATCAAGTAAATCTGAGGTCCATAATCAGATCTGCCTCAACGGTGGAGAAGAAAAAGGGGTAACTATAATGTGGAACCTTGGGGACCAGAAAATGAAGGGGGAAGTGGAGCCTTGATTATCCCTAATATAGCACAGTAGGAAACAGACAGTAGAAGGACCAAGACAAGTGGGGAATAAATTGAAGTGCTTCCAAGGGCCCCTCTCAGCAGTGTCCTGAGGACCTTCCCTGATCTACTTCATGGCCAACCCCTAAAGGTCAGTCTAGAAACTGAAGAAAGTGGGTGGAAAAACTGAAAGAAGCCCCAAAAAAAAGCTAGACTAGTATAGCTAGTACTCTCTCATCTCACTACACCAGAACTAAGTTGTCTGTATCTCTGTCTCAGAGTTCTAGGGGTACCTTGAGGAGTTGAAGTGTATCAATGCAATTGGCTTAAACTCCCATTCCAGACATGCCACCCCCAACTGTTAACCCAAGGGATTAGTAACCTAGTTCCATTTAACCAATTAACATAGCTTAGAATTTACAAAGGAATGTTTACTTAAAAGAAATTACAGCAGCAGGAGTAAAAACATTTGTGTACACCTCAGTGTTTTAAGGGGCACATGCTTCCCTATATCGTCTAGTCTGAGAAGAGTGAACACAGATTTGACATAATTTCTATATAGCATGAGTCCCACCAAGTTCAGGTATAAATGTTACATTGCTACCTGGTGAGCTCTAGTCTCACTTCTGAATTGAGTTTTGACATTATTCCTTCCTCTTTGGATCATTAATGCTAGACTGGCTGCAAAACCTGGCATGGATTCAACTCCCTGACTACAAGATGTCTGCCTTTCCTGATTTTCCAAAGCTCACAAGCTTCCAACTTTCTACCCCTAAAATGAAAGAATAAAGAATAGAATGGAGAACAAATGCCCATATTCATGGAGTCCCATGCTGGCCTTGGAGGGATAGGATCTAAGGCTTCTCACCTCACAGCATTGTTGGTCCCAGATGTCATCAGTGAAATAGTCAAATCAAGAAAGAAAGAGGTTGAAGTTGAGATCAAATGAAGTCTTTTGAATGTTCCCTCTACCCTACTCCAGTTCCAGCTCTATGACTGTGGCCAATCAAAGAAGCTGCCATTCACCACAACGTTAGCAGATTGGAAACAGAGACTATCTAAGAGTGCTCCAATATCTTTCTAAGGTGTTTCCATTACCAGTCATTAGGACTCTTCCAGAAGCAGGTTCTCTAGACTCTTCCATGTGGGAAATTTGCATCACTGGCAATCTGCATGTGCTCATATGGCCTGAGCTCATTGGTCAATCCCCTGTTATACCGGTAATAGTAGAGAATAGACCATAATAGAATTGTCATTTAGACTCGCCCTGTTGCATGAACCAAATAGTCACACTCTCCCTCTGAGGGAAATAGACCTCATCTAACCCAGATGGTCTAAAAGAATAGAAAGCAAGGACTTGGGCAGGGGGACCAAAAGTATTAGGGGAGGATTGGTAAGAAGAAGCCCTTTTGTAGCCAGAATACCATAGAAAAGTCAGCAGAGTGATTGATGAATGAATAAATGCAAAGGTATCAATTAAGTGCTTACTATGAGCAAATCACTGTGCCTTAGTACTGGGAATCCAAATTTAAAAATTCAACAATCCTTGCTTTCAAGGAGCTCACATTCTAATTGGGGAGATGATACATATAGAAGATATTAGCTGCAAATCAGATGGAAAGGTGCCTTGGTCCTTAGAATTCAGCAGCCAAGCATAGAGTAATGCATCTTCTTTAATGTAATTTCTGCTGATGAAATCCTATCTCTTTCTGATTTTGAATCATTTGACAATGTCAAGGACTTTGGTACCAAGCAAGAACTTTCTTTTCTGTGATTTCAGTGGCTCAGCTATAGCACCTTCAGAAGTGGTGCCAGGGTACACCTGCCAATTGGTAGTAGTTGGTTAACAGTTGGTGCTGGTGGTGGTGGAGAAGGTGGCCTCTTCCATATAGTAATTGCTCATCTAGCATATGGCTTCAGAGCCCAAGACCGACACAGAGACGAAGGGAAGGAGCTGCCATTTCTAAGGTTCTTGGGTTCAAGGTTCTGGACTATCTACATTGGGGTGGTAGTAGTTTAACTTACCTAGCCAGTGCCAATTTTTGCTGCTGCTTCTTCTTGGTAACTTGCTGCTTCAGCTAGAAAAGGTAGATAAGATCACAGAAAAGTTTTCTGGAAGGAGAAATAAGTGGACATTCAAAGAAAAGATCCATATCAATGGCCAACTACTTATTAACAAGGGAAACAGTAAAAATGCCTTGGGGAAAGTAAAAGATACCATAAAAAATTTTGCAAGACTCCTTAAAAGGACAATGGAAGAACTCCAATGACCAAGAAGAACAATTGAATGGTTAATTGAAAATATCAAAGAAATAGGGTTAGAAATTAGAGCTCTTGATGAAGGAATCAGCAAGTCTAACTAGTGAATTCAGAACAAAAAACA